CATAGGGTTGCAGTAGTGAGTGGGCATCTGTTCTCAGAAGGCAGTGCCTAGAGCACTATAAGTACTTAATAAACTCTTGCGAAATTAAAAAGTGGGTGAAGTCATCGTATATGTTTAAAATTGTACAATACACTGGATTTACAGAACACATCTCAAATCCTGTAGAAACAAGACAAACTCACATAAAGCAATTAGCAAAAACTGAAGACTCTGAGAGGTAGAATGTGAAATAGAATGATTTATGTTAATCAATTGTGTTACATCTCATGAAACCTAATGAATGTTAGAACATAGTAACCAGCCACTCTGGGGGTCTGGATATTCACTTATTTCAGGATTGACTTCTTTAACTCAAACCCAGGAGAGAATTCCTCCTTAAAAGCTAATTCTTAGGACATCTTCTGAGCAAGCCACATACTGAAATCAGTTTCATTCCTTTTTAATTAACCAATGTGAACATCCTCTTTGCTTTCATGACTATGGGACGTATTCCTCAAAGTCACATCCACACTCACAACTATATTGGTTCTCACACAGTACCCTAAGCATGCTCAAGACTTGATAGATACTGCCTGAATTGGTGACTTGCAGAACAGCTGTACACCACTTCTGGGATGGTTTATGATTTCCTTAATATGAGTCTTGGTTTTCTTTATCCCAAATGTATTGTCTGCAATATCACTCAAGATTGTTAAGATCATAGTCACAATTTAAAAAACAAAAGTATGTATCCTTACTAACTATATTCATAAATATGAGTTACAAAGTGTAGAATAACTTCAGAAGAAGCACACCCCAAAACTACAGAGTAGTGCCATAGGTAAATTGCCTCTTATAGATGCTGTATCTCAGGAGAGGGCACTCAAAGGAGTAGGAAAGCTCTGAGGTGGAAACTGCATGGTTTAATTTGGGTTCCCCCAGATGTAGACCCTGACACAGGATTATTGCAAATAGATTTGAAATGGGATCCCAAGAAACATCAGTAGGGGGCTGGAGAATGAGAGAGGCAAGAAAAAGAAGCTAAAGGGGAATGTCATTGTAGGAAACAAGGTCTCAGTCTCCAGGAGATGGAGCAGAACAGCCTCAGAGATGACTCACCTGAGCAGTAAGACATCTGAAATATTTAATTTAACAATTCCCATTAGCTATTAGTTGACAGCTGTCCTGAGGGTATTAATTTCCTGCATTTCAGCCCACCTGACATCAGGTCAAGCATATTATCATGGCAGAGGGCGCCCTTAGGTAGAAAGTCATGGGTTCTTGTAGCACAAAGAACACAAACTCTATTACATTTCAGTTGAATCTAAGCTGTTGCATATGTAATAAGCTGTCTCAGCTGATAGGCAGGCAAAAAATAATTATGAATTTATTTAGTTTCATTAAGTTTCTGCAATACACCATCCAATAACTGGATTTCCAAACTCATTCTCAGACTTTCATTCACTCCTTTTCTACTAAATGAGAACAGTTACCTCAAGCAAATTAAATGTGCTGATTCTGTCCTTTAAACTTTTGCTCAATCCAAATCCAATGCATGTTTCTTGTAGGTCCAGAAGCAGATCCTGATGCAGGAATCCCAGTATAAATGATGTATTAAGGATGTTCTCTTACAAGAAGGCAGGCAGGAAGCAGGAGAGGGAAGGGAAGAAGCGAAGCTGACGTGTGATTTCTCAGGAAGCTCCAACTGCAGCCTGTTCTACAGAAGGCTCTGAAGTATAAAATATACCCTAGGGTGGTCATGACTTAAGACAAAGGAGCTGGGTTATTCTATTCCCAATAGACAATCAAGCATTGGAAACACTGCCCTGAAATGCTCTAGGTGGGGCACGTTAAGTTTGTCCCATCTGTCACAGATTCTTACATTTTCTTGTTAGTCACAATTTCTGGGAGAAAATTTATAAACAGAAAACTTAGTGGAATAAAGTAATCTGTTGTAGCATTTAGAGCTGAGGCCACAAATGATGGTCATCATCTCCCTTCTCTGACACTGTTTTAGATTCCTTGTGAAACTTTGGCTAGTGCCTCTGTCAGTGTAGGTGACCTTCCTGGAGGGGCTACTAAAATCACCCTCCCTGAGGAGTCTAGGTCGCTAGTTACCACATTTTATCAAGCCATAGCATGATAATTCTAAGAGATGCCCCAGTAGGTTTCCCAAGTACAGAACATTATTTTGTGTGCTCACCTTATATAGCAGACTATTCTCATGGTCCTGGCAACTCAGCTCTTTCATGCATCTTCTGCTGCTGAGCATCCACTGAGTTTCAGCTCAAGATCTCACCTCTTCCATAAAACCTTCCCTGGTCCTTGCATTCCTCAGTGCCTTCTTGTCCCCATAACTCAAAGAAGTTACTGCTTATGCCTCTCATCTGGCCTGAATCTCATTCTGCATTGTAATTCCTCATTACAGAATTTTTATTGACCTTGGACAATGTAATTTGGTTGACTTGTGAGTGTATGTGTTGTCTTTTTGATGGGAACCTGGGCACCTGAACAGGGTTCTACCCCACCCTTCACGGGCTGCCTCCAGGGCCCGACACAGGTTGCTCTGTGTCCCCAGGCCTCAGGGAACTCACGTTGAATTAGCAACTGAACGCCTCACAGAATAGCATCTCTGCACCTTAGAACTACTTGTGATTTTTCTCATCATAAGTCTTGCTTCCAAGAGTTCTCTAACTTATTTGGTTGTCAGTGACACTCATTATCATTCAGGCCACAATCATCTTTCAAAAAAAAAAAAAAAAAGACAGCTTTCAGAGGCTTAGCCTTATTACATTTTAAAACCAGCCCTTAAAAGCATATATTTCTAGATGCTTTATTATTAATCCAAATTATGTGCAAATGAATGCCATAACTTTCCCCTACAAAGGACAGGGTATTTTTGTTCTTTTTTTTTTTCTTTTTTGGCATTACTCAGACCTTGAGGTTGACAAACATACTTTGGGGATATTGGATATTTGTGGAGAAGGCACAGAAACATTTACATAAAGAAGCAATTCAACCTATATTGAACACGTTTTGGGTGCCAGGAATTGCCCAAGGGACTTTATATAAACTGCATTGTCCACAGGTTTTTTTCTTCTCTTTTTTTCTGAAGCACATACATTGGAATATTTTGAGGCATTTTATAGCCTCTTGTGGGAGCTTAAAGGGAAAGGAGGAAAACTCATGTCACTTCGTTTTGCAATTAATTACTTCTTCTGGGAAGACTTTGCCTTGTAATTGTAGTATTTATGTATTTATTATTTCTGATTGCTCCTGTCTTGTATTCTCTATTCAGAAGCAAAACTTTGATACAAAAATAGTACTAAACTTGACTATGTATCTCCAGGTATCTAATCTACTCTCCACAGATAGTATTGAGATGACATAAAATGTTACTATTAATAGAGGTTAAAATCTATTGAATGTTTGCTGTAAACCAGGCACTCTGCACAGCCCTTTATACACATCATCTTATTTAATACTCATAGCAATTTTCAGAGGTAAGTACTACTATCATCTCTGTTTCATAGATACAGAAATTAAGGCTCAGGGCAGCTGAACAACTCCCCAAAGACCACGCAGCTAGTAAGTAAAGAAATTGAGCTTATGCTGCACAGAGGACAAAAAGCCTCCCTCCTTGGCTCTCTCCTTGGAGATGGCAAAAGAAGTTGTATTCTCAGCCTGTGATCTTGCTAACCAAGAGATCACAAACTCTTTGGGTCTCAGTTTCTTTATTTATTGAATTGATACTCTAATGCCCACACTGCTATGCTCATCTATCTATCCATCATTTGTTCATCTTCAAGCATTTAACTTTCACTGCTTTATATTTTGCTTATAGGAGTTACTGATAGCTCTCAAAGAACATAAAGTATGTCACATTCATCTTGATACCTATTCTTGATACATCTTGATACATCTTGATATACTTGGCCACTATGCTAAATGCTTTAAATATCATTTATTTAAATCATTTATTCCTCACGATACCATAAGAAAGGTAGTCCTTTCATCCCCACTTATTTCAGACTTAAGGAGGTTATTTGACCCCAATCACAATTGCATTAATGGTGTCAGATAGATTTGAACATAGATATCTGGCTCCAGAGTCCATGGTCTTAGTTACCGTGCTATACAAGAAAGCAACTTAATTTTCTTCTCAAATCCAGGTGCTGTTTCAGAAGAGAATGTCATATGTGTTTTTATCTCCTTTTTCTCTTTACTCTTTAGCTCTTGTTTTTATTCCATGATCTGCATTTATTTTTGTGTAACTAGAGATGTGATTTTTCACTGCACATTACTTTTAAAATCCCAGATATGAAATCTCATATAGACATTAATTTTAATTTGCCATTGATTTTATTCTTAGAAACAATATTGGAAGAGAAAAAGTTTCCTCTAATTTTTAAGTTTTATGACCTTAAATGTCATGGGTAGCAGGCAACAGCGTGAGACTCCGTCTCAAAAAAAAAAAAAAAAAAAAAAAAAAAAAAAAAAAAAAAAAAATGCCACTTTAGCATAATAATAATTTTGAGTAAAAAAATTGTGAAGATATAGATACCAAAAAAAAAAAAAAAGAAGAAGAAGAAGAAGTGCTCTGTCCTCCACCTGTTTTCCTAAAATTAGGAAGTAAATTTGCAAAAGTGCACCTCTTCACCTCTGTATCAGGAAAGATGAAAGTTAATCACCTTTAGATAGAGACAACTTTAGATCCTTGTCAGCCTGGAGATGGGATGGTACCAGAAGGGTCTGCAGAATAAACTTTACCAACTACACTTCGTCCACCACTAGCTTTTCATATATTTGCATTTCCACAATTTACTATTCCTAGAGGTTAAAGGTCCCTTTCTTCTATCTTGTCACTTCTCTAAAAATTTATTGTTCCTTTGCTATGTAAGTCCAAGTTCTAACCAAGCCTTTAAGTTACTTATCCCTGAGTTTCTCTCATGTACATATGAGATATACACATTAGTAAACTTCTGTTCGTTCTTTGCTCATTAATCTATCTTTTGCTGCAGAGCTTCAACTGAGAATCTAGAAGAGAGTAGACAGAAAAATACTTTTCCCTTCCCTCCAAATGCAAGGATAATCTTACGTGAGTCCAGGAGGAAGGTAAGTAATATTAAAGATACAAGAAGATGAATAGCTTCAGATTTTGCCTTTTAGAGTTTCAGAAGATAAGGGTTTAGATGAAAATCAACACAAATCTAGGATAAAGCAATTACAATGAGTGGTAGGTCTCAGATATGCTAATTTTGGTCTCTGCAGGTCATAGAAAACAGAATTAAGACATAGGGACTGAAAAAGATTGTTAACTAAGTCCTTCACCTTTAAAAATGAGAAGTAACAAATAATTTAAGATTCAAACTAAGCAGAACATAATTTTGAAAAATGAACGCCATGACGAAAAAATCAACAGCAGTAAAATGTCTAAAAAAAAGAAAAAAGATTGGTCAGTTAAGCTATTCATTGTGAAAACCTTGAGGTATAACCAAAGAATATCCAAAAGCATTTCTGCCATCAAAACATTACCCTTAAGATTAATATTAAGAAATAAAGGAAACGAAGCCTAAAATATAAACAGATTCATTTCTTAATGTGACTTTTATTATTTACTTAAAAATCTGCAATCAGAAAACATAAAAAGAACATTCACTAACCAGAGCCAAGGGACTACTCTCCCACAAGTTTTTAACACTTTGCAGTAAATTGTTATAGAAATAACCATCACACACACACACACACACACACAGAGAGAGAGAGAGAGAGAGAGAGAGAGCACACATTCTTCCCAGCTTTCTTGCAATTGGTTTGGGATCCATTAGTGAGAGATGTTTTTGTAGCCACAAGTAAACAAATTTAGAAAAGAAAATAGAGTAACATAGCATTTAAGCATATGACCTCAAACTGAGGAAGCAATAATATACAAAGTAAAGATAGATGATGATGGATGGGTAAATCATAGATAGACGATAAACAGGTGGGTGGATGGATAGATAGATAGATAGATACATACATACATACATACATACATAGATTTCAATTAATGTGCATTCAAAAAATATTAATCACAATATTCACTCAGAATATTTAACTGTAGAAAGGTTATATTCCAAGGCCATCAACAGGCCAATGCAGGTCTGCAAATGTTTATCTCTGACAAGATGAGTACTGAAATTGAGAGTAAGTCTTTAGAAACTTTTATAGATGTTTGGCAAAGAAATTTCAGGTCTGTTGAATCTAATGATAAAAAAAAGAGCTGCATTTTATGCCTTTTTAATAATTTTTGTAGTAATTGATTTTTATTCTATTTTATGAAACAATCAGCATTAGAAATTAAAAAAAATAAAATTATCCTTTTCCCACAGGTAGTTTGAGAAGCTTGGAATAAAATTATATTTGGTCTTTGGGAAACTAGGGATTCTTCCTTCTGTTGTGGTTATACAAAGCATACATTTAACGGGCCTATCATTTTATTTTTGCGGAGATTGTAATTGCTCACTATCAATGTAAGATAAATTACAGGAGGTGAGTGAACTGAGAGAAAGGAAAAAATACCTTCCTATTTAGTAGTTACAAGTTAGAACTGTAGGCACAGTGTAACATTAGGAAATACAGCTGCTGACACACCAGTAGTTTGCCCTTTTGTACAAATAGTCCTGAGGTTATTATTATTTTTTGTATCTATACAGTTTTTCAAAACTCTGTTGTGGACTTTATTCTGTTATTCATAGACATGACAAGATAACTTGTCCCATTAACTTCTGGGCTAAAGCTACCTTTTAGACTAAAGGACAAGGAAAATGTAAGCATCCCTTTTAGGTTTTGGGGAATTCGTGATATCTGTGACATTAGCCTCACTTTGTTTTTGGTGGCACTTTTCATGTGCTGTGGTTTGCTGTCCATGCAGGGCAAAGCTGAGCTGGATGTATGTAAGCAAAAGGTGCCCAAGAGTATAAAGAACTAAAATCTTTATGCAAAAACAAAAGAAGATGTAAACCTCAAGCGTACCTCCACCCATTTACACTTCTTAGCTCCAAACCACAAAGAGAACAAAAAGGTACTTTCTCAGACTTGTTTTTTTGTCACGTTTTTTGAGAAAAGTCATGGTTAACTCTTAAATGTACTGTCCTGGCCTTACTCTTAGATGTTGATCTTTTCAAAAAATTGATAACAGTTGACTGCTCTTAGAGAGCATCTACCTTGCCCCCCCAAACCATATCCCTGTTTCTTGGTCCACTGGTCCTATGACCAGCCTTGAACTACAGTACCTGTAATGTACAAAATCTTTGCAAATTGCCAGATGTCAAGGCTACTTCACATTTAGACCAACCTTCATGCTAGCAACACATACGTTTTTTTTTTTTTTCTCACCTCTGTAACCTCTAAGAAGTTTTTGTAAAATTAGGGCACAGTCCGTTTTGCTGCCAGGCAGTTGTCTCTCCAGAATTCCTTCACGTGGACTGTGTCTATGGGTGAAAGTATATGGCTAATGTGAAATTCAAAGCCGCAGATAACACTTACCTCGAAAAGGAACTCAGAATGGAAGTGATATTAACGTGCCCTCTAGGTGTTAAATAGAACAGCTGGAAAACAGTTTAAATTATCATTGACTGAGCCCCATTTTCGAACCCCATTTTCCATTGATCTGGAGCCGGCATGTCCATTAAGGTTGTTGGAAGGACCTAAGAACACCTGTAGCCAGATTTGCTAAAATTGACATCATCTGCTAACAGAGGGCAGGCCAAGAGGCTGCCTAGATTCCTGTTCCTCAAAGAGTAGAAGTACTCTGCTAATTTTAAAACAGAAAAACTTAGGAGGGAAAATATGAAGAGTCCTAAAACCCCATGTTGCTTTGTTTTGTTTTGTTCTGTTTTTTGAGATGGAGCCTTGCTCTGTTACCCAGGCTGGAGTGCAGTGGCACAATCTCTCCTCACTGCAACTTCTGCCTCCTGGGTTCAAGCAATTCTCCTGCTTCAGCCTCCCAAGTAGCTGGGACTACAGGCACCCACCACCATGCCCAGCTAATTTTTTTTGTGTGTGTGTATTTTTAGTAGAAACAGGGTTTCACCACATTGGCCAGGCTAGTCTCGAGCTCCTGACCTCAGGTGATCTGCCCACCTCAGCCTCCCGAAGTGCTGGAATTACAGGCATGAGCCACTGCAGCTGACCCTAAAAACCCATATTAATGTTAATATGTTCAAGGATAAGGAAAATTAGATGAGTTACAGTTATCTTTCAAATGAGTTTAAAGGAGGAAGAGTTTAAAAGCATCTATTACACATAAGATACATAATAGAACATAATAGAACTCTAGGAATAGCAATAGTAAACTTGTCAGATAAAAAGGAAAATCCAGCATGTGTCAGAAATAACCATTTATTGTGGACATCCTAGTGGTTTCTATTAAAAAAGATCTCCTCTAAATTTCAAAATAAAACACAATAAATTGTAGCCTACAAAGATATGTTTACAAAAAAAAAAAACAAGCACACAATACAAAGTAGTAGTATTAATTGAGTCATCACCCAGCAAAAAGAATATTAATTTATGCTATTACTATTACTAAGGAAATGCTAACACAATAAACTCACCATCAAACTAAAATACATACTAAATAAATATTTAAAGCCATTTGAAGAGAGAAGGAAGACAACAACACAAAATCACAAATAAAACAAGGAAAAGATAAAATAAAATAAATTTTTGATAAAATAGCAGTAATATTAAGAGTGCTTTGGAAAAAAATAGTGAAATTTATGCATTTGAATTTAAACAATTTATCAAACACTGAGAAATATGTTAATAAAATTTGGAATAAAAAACTAAGAAACCCAGCAATTTACTTGTGTTTATATAACCTTTGTTATTTTATTCAATCTTCAATGATTTAAACCAGTGTCCAAATCTCCTAGGAAATTGAGACCTTCAGTGGGATGGAGGGTAGGTCCTGTTCATGTTTCAGTTACCTATATAATAAGTGTTCTGTAAATGTTTTTAAATGAAAGAGAATGTTGAGAGAGTTCTAGGTTATAGGAAAAGAAAAAGAGATTTAAAACAATACAAAAAGTAAATAATTACTTAAAAATAAAACTACCTTACTTTGGCATATTTACTGGACAATTTTTCCAAACACTGAAAAAGAGATAGGGAAGATAAGAATGAAGTATTATTTTTTGAGAGATAAGTGCTAGGCACCATGCTCAGAGCATTACATTAAAAGAGGAGAGAGAGAGAGAGAAAGAGAGAGAGAGAGAGAGAGGTGAAAATTATAACAGAAGACACTGATTTATCAATGCTTGTGAGTAATAAAATTATGACACTAGAAAATAGGATAAAAGTAAATACTAAAACAAATTAAGCTCTTTTTGTTGTAGAATCTAAGGAAACCCCAAGCATTGCAGTTAAATTCTTAAATACTAGTGACAGCTAGAGTGTGAAATGAATGGATTCCATTTCTGGCAGCAAAAACTGAGTACCTACAAATCAATGCATTAAGAAAGAGATGTTTTTTAAACACACACATACCCCACCCTAAATGTACAAGCACACACCCATCAGTGAAGAGGGAAAGCCTCTATGAGACTGAAAAGGCTTTAAAATACCTACATTATTCTAAGTAGCAACCCATGTCAGTGGTATTATTTCTGAGTCCTGTCAACCCCCATCCACACTCCATCTTAACTTCCACCACTAGATTGAATTATCCTAAAATAGAAACCCCATGATACATCCAAAGGTCTAAAACCTCTTCATCCCCCAAACTCCACCCTTGCCATAGCACAGAAAAGATCAAATTCCAAAGTCATACAAGTGGCCCCATCCATTCTTGATGTATCTCTACTTACTTTTTAAGAAATTCGTAATTATTAAGTTTTTGTTGTTATTTATGGCAGTAAGAACATTTACCATAGGACCTGTCCTTTTAACAAATTTGTAAGTGTACAGTATCGTTAACCATAGGCATGATGTTGTACAGCCAATCTCTAGAACATACTTTTCTTGCATAATTGAAACTTCATATATATTGAACAGTAACTCCCCATTTCATCCTCCTCCCAGCCCCTGGAAGCCACCTTTCCACTCTCTGCTTCTATGAGATTATTTTAGGT